GCAAAGGGGCAGAAAGATGAATGTATAAAACAGCTTTCTGAGTCTCTGTATAGAATTAATCTCAGCCATGAAGGCTGCATGATGGCTTAGACATCTCTCAAATGTTTCTCCTCTTGCCACATCACAAAGGCCATTAAATTTCAACTGTTGAATTCTGAGAGGCACATTTATACCATAGCAGATAGTAACAGTGATTTCTTTATATGGCAATAGAAATATTCAACAACTTATTACATCTAAAATGAGTCAGGAAGATGATTAGATCTCAAAAATATTTATATATCTTACTTTATTTTTAATATTGTTATATAAACATTTTGTTAGTAATGCAACATTATTAACTATTTTAGAATCTCATTATTAATTGGATTAAAGATGATGTGTTTAACTGTACATTACTTATTTGGAAAACATGTTGAAAACTTTTCAATCTCCAGTAATTTGTGTGTGTGTGTGTGTGCGTGTGTGTGTATGTAGCATTATTTACTTTTACAAAGTTTAAAGCTTCAAGAATATTTCTGAAGAACTTTGTCAAAATTTTCAAATGTTTATTTTCAAGGTTCTAATTAGATAACCACACTCTCTCTGAAATATTTGGATGCTAACTACATGCCATCAAAGATACAGTTTTAAAAAGAAAATTACATTAATTTTTGTGTATGGCCAGGTCGGTGAGAGTTGGTCATTATTTGGAAAAAAAATTAAACTTCCATAGAGGTTTACTTATTGCTGATATATCTCTTATCAAAGGTCTTTTTAAAGAGAAGGTTCCAAGCCAGGCATGGTGGTGCATGCTTATAATCCCAGCACTTGGGAGGCTGAGGCAGGAGGATCGCTGTGAATTCGAGACCAGCCTGGGCTACATGGTGAGTTCCAGGTCAGTCTCAACTACATAGTGAGACCCTGTCTCAAAAAACAAACAGAGAGAGAGAGAGAGAGAGAGAGAGAGAGAGAGAGAGAGAGAGAGGATTCCAAATACACTGATCCCTTGGTTCCTGAGGGATCAACATCTTTGCTGCATATCCTCAGACTAATCCCAGCTAGATAAATATGTACTTGTTTTGTTTACACTAAACTATTTATGTCACTGACTTACTTTTTGGGTTAATAGGCTGTTATAAAAAGAAAAACTTGTGTTTTATGCCTTCTCTTTGACAGGCAGTATTATAGCCATTGGGGAAACAAAGATAAATAAGATTTGTTTTTGCTGTTGTTGGGAGTTTGCATTTTTTTTTTTTTTTTTACCCTGAGTAAGCTTAAGATCAGTTTGAAGTACTCTTTAGCATTCCCACTGAAAATCTCCACCTTGGAAATGTGCAGAATTTTTTTGTGTATTGTGACTAAATAATATTTGGGGTTTTCAGTGGCTACACAATTGAGCTTCTATCTAATTATTTGTTCCTGGGATGTTACTAATGTGGTTTGAGCTGCACTAGTGTGATAGAAGAGCACACCACCTGCAAAAGGACCTCTTCTGAGATTGACCACAATCTCTATAAGAGAGTAAAAGAATTAAGCAATTAAAGAGCTCAGAGCCATGTGTGCAGGTGGGGAAATATATTCACAACTACTGAAATCCGTTTTGAGTCTTTCCATTTTCCTTTGCAGCACTACCTGAGGATTAGGAAAGTCTAGATTTGAGAGAAGAGTTTAGTACATCTTTTGGATTTGTTCTATAACTATCAAAGTGGTGTTGCATGGAATCTTAACGTGGGACAATTTTTGTATCAACTTTTAGACAGAAAGCTGAAATGTTACTAGAGAATGTATACACAAAGATTCACTTACTCATACCTTATAAACTACCCATATTCTAACTACTACAATAAGAAAAGCATAGGGCTGGGGATTTAGCTCAGCGGTTCAGTGGCCTGCCTTGCAAGCGCAAGGACCCAAGTTCAATCCCCGGTACCAAAAAACAAACAAACAAACAAAAAACTTTAAAAAAAAGAAAAGCATAGCAGGCAAAGACTTATTTGGATGAGAGAGATGGGTGTTAATTTTGTCTCCGAGGATCACATGAAGTATGTCAGTCATGAATTTGGAGAGTGGAATTTTATCTGACTGAATTCTTGAGTAACCTTGAAAAGAACAGAATGTGGACAAAAGCCTCAGGCTGTGCTAGGGTACTAATTCTCACCATATTCCTCATTGTCACTCTCACATCCTCATGTGCCTGCCCTTCTGTGTAGCCAGATATTAGTTCTGCTATATAGGACAGGATTCAGGATCTAGGTTGTCTGTGATTCACATGATGCTTCCTGAGCGCCTATGTAAGCATCAGTGGTGATGCATGTCTACTGGTATGGTTAGAATGGACAGAAAGTGCTGTCCACTGTCTTGTGAGTGCTAAGGAACATCCACAACGTGTCAGTGCCACACATTACCAGTCTGTCTTCCCAATGTGTGCTCAGGTCTGCTGAGTCCTGCTCACCCTGGTATCATTCCACAGACTGTACTTCCCAGCTGTGGCTAAAGCCACACAGTACCCTCTCAGAAGCTAGGCTCAGGGTTGTCACATGTATGCAGTTGTGGGACTCAGGCTGAGGGGGTAGAACCTCCCAAAGATATTCTTTTGTGGGGCAAAATCATTTATAGCTTTGTTTCAGTTATATCTACCACTGTCACATCAGCAAGCTAATCACACGGATAAGCCCAAAATCAAGGACATGAGGGAGAGACCATAGCATATGCTCTCTGAGATATAGGAATGGATGATGTTAAAAAATAATGCACCAAATATACAATGATGGAGAGATAAAGATTATAGGTTCATGCCTCTAATCCCAATTCTAGGGCAGAAGGATAGTGAGTTCAAGTCCAGCCTGGGCAACTTAGCAATTTCTTGTCTTGAAACAAAAAAATAAAAAGAGCTTGGGATATAGTTCAGTGCAAAATCCCTTAGATCAACCCCAGTATTAAAACAACAAAATAACCATAATATTAGTTTTTAAATTTTAAAATTCAGAAATTTAAAAAGGGCTGGGGATGTAGCTTGGTGAAAAAGTTGAAGTTCAACTTTCAGAAAAGAAAAAGAAAAAAAAAAAGAATATGAAAAGCTTCATACAAACCCTAAGACAAAAATCTAGAAATGATGCCGGGCATGATGGCTTATGCCTATAATCCCAGCACTCGTGAGGCTGAGGCAGAAGGATTGCTATGAGTTCAAGAACAGCCTGGGCTACATAGTGAGTTCAAGTCAGTCTCAGCTACATAGTGAGACCCTGTCTCAAAAAAAAAAAAAATCTAGAAACGAGGAAAGTATAAATACTTGAAAAGGATGCTAAGGTATAAGATTCTGTTTTAAGTGGCAATAACAAGGCACATCAGAAACCTTAGGTATCACACACCAAAGATTCTTGTATATAACAGATCAGAATAGGCAGACACTAGAGATAAAGGGCATTATTGCTAAATCACTAATAATAAGGACTAAAATGGGGGAAGCATAACAATAGAGTCATAAGGGAGAGGAAGAGGTGAAGAGTATTTCTGATACCCAATTAGTCAGTCTTGACAACTCACTGGATGTAACAGCAGGCAAAGGAACCCAAAATGTGTTTCTATTGAATTCCCTTAGACAAAGGAGGATTTTAATCAGATATTTAGGTGAGAGGGAACAAGGTGAAGCCTGGGTACTCTGACAGAAATAAGGAAGTCGGGTGTGGAAGGACTTTGGGATGGAGGATGATGAACAGTGACCCCGGCTGAGCAGCTGAGCAGTGTTGAGGAGAGCCTAGGCACTGTGAAGAAGGGCCAGACAGCAGACCTGTCCATGTGACAGAGCGCAGGACGTGAGGATAGAGAAGACGTAGGAAGCAGCGGTAAGAATGGAGGGCACCCTGGTGAACTCCAAGTGTAATGTGTGCTACGGTGCAGCGAGTGATAGCAGTCACCTCTTGAGACGACTTTGATAGTGACAGCAAAATGAGAGCTTGAGCAAGGCACGGGGAGGGAAGAATGTATTGCTATTATTGTGTTGTTGGTCATGCGGGGTTCTTTGAACAGTCCCATGTTAAGAGAGAAGGACACGAAGTGGTCTGAAGATGTGGAGATGCAAGGGTTATTGAGAGTCAGGGTCCAGCATTGTAAGGAGAGGGTGGCTGTGTCTATCTAGCTGTTATTCGGAACTAGGACTTGATCTAGGGTCACCTACTTTTTGCCTTAGGATATATCTGACTTACAACTAGTAGTCTTCTGAAATGTAGAGGCTCTTGTTCACGTAAATCAAGATATGGCATGAACATTTTCGTAAATCACTATTGGTTTTAATCATGAAATTGGTGGAAAAAACGAAGGAGTCGTGGGCTAATAGGACTGTGCTCTTCACTTGTCTCTCTGTATGGCTGTGGGTAGGCTAGTGATTAGAGAGGGTTTACAGAGCCTACTGCCAACATAGTTATTTTAAATTATGTAGAGAAAGGCAGCATAATTGATAGTAACTAACTTTCTGTGCTTTTATAAAACAAAAATGACTGCCAGTATTTAAATTAGATAATTATAAGGAAATATCACTTCCAAAGTAAATCAGTTTTAAACAATATTATTTGCTGATTAAAGTATGTTATATGCATATGTGAATCTACCAAAATGAAACCAACTGTTCTATATAATTGACATGTACTAAAAAGTTAAAAATAATATTATTTGCACTGTACTCATGGGATGCAGCATGGTACACATTTTTATGTCAGATTTGCTACCCATTTAAGTATTATTGTAGTTTTCTTTTATCCTCAAATTTCAAGTTCTCAATTTGATATTTCTTGTCTAAAATGTACAGCATATAAGTGCTTTAAGGCCCTATTGGCAAGGTAAGTGTGCGCAAGTACATCAATGTCACATATCACTATCTTTTCAATTCTATTACTACATGTGGAAATCATACATATACAGACTATAAAATGTGTTACATACTGTAGGCCAAGTAAAACCACAGTATCCCAAACCCTGTTTGTTATCTTGACATTGTCTTATGTTCATGTGTTGCCCCTAAACAGAACTGTGATCTGGAACAGCAGAGCATCGTTCACATTGTGCAGAAGCCAGGAAGGAAAGATCAGGAAAAAAATCCACCTGGAGGGGACAAGACCAGAAATACTTTGGGAGCCTCTTCCAGGGAAACCAAGAGCTTGACCCGGATGGACCTCAGCAGCTCTGTCCTGCCAGCAGACTCTGTGGGTCTAGCTGTCATTCTGGACACTGACAGCAGGAATAATTCAGCAGCGGTCAGAAACCCAGGTAATTGTAATGAATCTGTCTACTGCTAAAACACTTTGTTTAGTAAAGTCTCCATGGAGAGTGACCTTGCGTTACACATATCTGGTTATATAAGTTTTGGATTAGAGTCCTTCAGTCACTGCAAGGAGAGTCCACTAGAAGGAGAGTAATGAGATAAAATTTTAGGGAAATGCATACATAATAGTATGAAATAAGTTTCAAATTTCAAATGAACATAAGAGGTGGAGAAAGCGTCACTACCATAATAAGAGCATGTTAATTTTTTCTGTTTTGAGTAGCTGGAGTGGTGCGGGCCTATGATAAGTTGTGTTGTTTTGAATATATTATTAAGGTACATGCATGCCCCTCTCACATTCTGCTTTCCTTATTTTTTAAAAGTGCATTTTTCTCAATTCAAATGATACAGAGAAATGTAAAAAGAAGATGTTAGAGGTAATTTTAGCCACTTTAAGTGTTCTTGACCCACATATAATGTAAACAAAATCTCTAGTCTGAAGACAGTTTTCTTTATCTCTATGCTGCAATATGTTCTAAGTGCTTTTCTTTGGTTAAGACACTGTCTGTGCATTTATGCTGTTATAACAAAATACTCAAGACCAATGCTGTGTAAACAACAGAAATGTTTTCCTTAAAGTTCTGCAAGCTGAGCAGTCCAAGATCAAGGTGCTAGCAGGGTGGGAGTCTGGTGAGGGTCTGGATTCTAGTAAGATGGTGCTTTATTGGCATTTCCTTATTATGGTGGCTATGAAGGCTGTGTACTCATAAAATGAAATAGACAGAAGGTAAAGGAGTGATCATTGTATCTACAATTTCTCAGAATAAAAGCTAAAAATAATCTTTATGGCAAACACATATTTGGGGGTAGAATATTCTTGTTTTCCACACACTGAAAGTGGAATATTCTCTTGATTAATATATGATTGTGAGTCAGGAGTTCATTTTTTATTTTTATTAATTTTATTGGTACATTTTAGGTATACATTCATCACTGGAAATTTGTACCTTTATGTAATCTATCTTGGTTCTTATATTTTTCCTCATTCCCCTGCCCTCCCTTCAACCCCTCCACTCCTTCCTATTTACAAAGACTTCGTTTCCACTTTTCCATTTTCTTATATTCCATTCCCTTCTATCTTTCCCCTACACCTTCCACTTCCCTTTCTCCTTTGCACCTTTTCTTCCTATTTCACATCATCTATTGTATGTTTTAGCCCTTATTTACACTTTCAGTTTCTCATATCAGAGAAACCATTTGACATTTATACTTGTGTCTTACTTATTTCACTAAGAGTATTGCCTCAATGTGCATCCATTTAACTATAAATGTCTCTACTTTCCCATTCTTTATGGCTGAGTAGCACTCCATTTTATAAAAAAAAAAAATCTTCTTTATCCATTCTCCATTTGATGGGATATTGGGCTATTTCCAAGATTACAAACTATTACAAACTGTGCTGTTATGAATATGGGTGCACATATATCATTGTAGTTTGATTCTTTTAGTTCTTTTGGGAGGATACCCAGCAGAGGAATAGCTTGGTCAAATGGAACTTCCAATCCTAGTTCTTTGAGGTATTTCCTCACTGATTTCCACATTGGTTGCACTAGTCTACACTCCCACCAGCAGTGGAGCAGGGTTGCTTTTTCCCCACTGTCCCACCAGCATTTGTTATTGACTGATTTCTTGACAGTAGCCATTCTCTCTGGGGTGAGGTAGAATTTTGGCATTGTTCTCATTTGTATCTCTCCAATGACCAGTGACAGTGAACATTTTTTTCATATATTTATTTGCTATTTCTACTTCTTTGTCTGATAAATGTCGGCTCATTTCAGAAGCCAATTTTTGGATTGGATCTTTAAGTTTGGGAGGTCTGTTTTCTTAAGTTCTTTATATATTCTAGATAGTACACTTTGAAGAACAACTGCTGAAAAATTTTTACCACATTGTGCATTGTCCCTTCACACTATTGGTGTTTTGTTTTGTTTTCTCACAGTGCAGAAGCTTTTTAATAAGAGAGATCCCATTTGTTGATTGTGCCAGTTCATGAGCAACTGAGGCTTTATTCATAAAATATTTTTCTATGCTAATGTCTTCAAGAATTCTACCTAACCTTTCTTCCACGTGGTTTAGTGTTTCTGTTTTTGTTTTTTGTTGTTTTTTTTTGTACTGGAAATTGAACTCAGTGTTTCTGTTTTAATATTTAGGTCTTTGATCCATTTTGATTTTAGTGCATGGTGACAGATAGTTTCATGCATAGTCAGAGATACACATCTAATTTTAATCTTTGGCAAACTGAAACCCAGTTTTTCCAGCAGCATTTGTTAAAAAGGTTATCTCTCCTCCAATGAGGGTATTTGGCTTCTTTGTCAAAGATGAGGTGGATGAGTGTGTCTGAAGTTGTTTCTGCATCTTCTAATCTATTCCTCTTGTCCTCAGGTCTGTTTCTTTGCCAGTACCATGCTGTTTTTACTACAGTAGCTTTGTAGTATAGTTTCGAGTTGGGGGGTTGTGATAACCCCTAACTTTTCTTTATTGCCTAGAATTGCTTTTACTATTCTGCTCTCTTCTTGTTCTAAATGAATTTTTGGACTGTTTTCTCAAGGTCTGTGAAGTGTGCTCCTGGGATTTCAACTGGGATTGAATTGAATCTATATAGCGATTTTAGAAGTATGGCCATTTTCACTATATTGGTTCTTCCTACCCAGGGAGCAAGGGAATATCTACTCATTTTATCAAGATTCTCAATATATCATTATTGATCTCTTTTTTCAGAGTGCTATAGTTTTCAAAGTAGAGGTCTTTGATTTCTTTCATTAGGATGATTCCTAGGTATTTCAATTGTTTGGATGCTGTTGTGAAAGGAATTGTTTGCCCCATTTCTCTCTCAGTGAGTCTGTTGTTCCAGTACAAGAAAGCTATTTTTCTGTGTTGACATTATATCCACCTGCTTTTCTGAATTTGGTTACTAAGTCTAGAAGACTTTTGGTGGAGTTCTTGGGGTCTGCTACATAGAATATCATGTCATGTGCAAATAATGACAACTTGACAATTTGACTTCTTCGTTTACTATCTTTATTCCTTTTATTTTTTTCTCTTGTCTAATTGCGGTGGCTAATGTTTCCAAAAATATATTGAATAAGAGTGGTGATAGTGTACGTCCTTGTCTTGTTCCTGCTTATAGCATGAAAGATTTCAGTTTTTGACCATTTAGTGTGATATTGGTTGTTTTTTCATAGATGGCTTTTATCAGATTGAGGTAGAGACCATCTATTCCAATTTTTGTAAGGTTTTCATCATGAATAACATCATAGAACATACTCAGATAGCATGACACTGATGTCCTCAGTGAAAAACAGTCCTTCTGAAGTAGCTTTCCTGCTCCAGTCCTATTACTCAGAGAGTATCATACCTTGAGTGTATGGTATATCAGGATATGACATCCCAAAATATGCATAAGGATTATTTTAAGCTGGTTATTTTGGGAAATATTGAACACAGGAGAAACTCTGAAAATAGAGAAGTTACCCATCTAAAAGGAAATATACATCTGAATTGAGAAATCTTTGTTTGAAAGGGCATCTCCCTCTCTCTTTGAAGAAGAGAACTGAATCATTAGAAACTCCTATGGGGGAAGAAGACATCAAGTTAAATCTGCATAACAAACCTCATAGTTGTTCGCTGTGCTTTTCTCAGACACTTTCCTGTAAGTGGTCCATGGACAACTTTTTGTTTTTAGTATTTTGCTGAAGATGGTGGTAAAGCCAGAATTTTAGGCTGTCTCCCAGGGTATAAACAATAGATACATGAGAGTCATATCAATATGTTTCTGTTTGATATTCTCTTGTTAACCTGCTGTTTTTACAGGAATCCTATATAAAAATTATGAAGGGCAGAAAGAAAATAATTTTTTCTTCCCCCACAAGTAGAAGTCATACACATCATAAACTGAGAGGTTAAATTCCCCTTTAAATTTGAGAAAAAAACTGAACTAGAGTATGAAACAAGTTATATTTTATCTGAATTAAAGTATGTGGTAGTTCCTTTTCTCTCATTGCTGAGACAAAATACTCGACACCAAAAGTGAGAGGCAAAGGGATTTATTGGCTTACAGTTTAGAAGTTTCTGTCCATAATCAGCTGGCTGCAAGGCAGGGAGGGCAAACGAACATTACAGAGGAGAAACAATATGACACACACAAGGTAACAACAACAAGGGGCTATAACAGTGTCTTTCTGCTCCTTTTATCTTATTCTGACTACCGGAATTAGGGCAGTGTGAAACCAATCACTCATGTGTAGTGGTTTAGTAACCACACGCCCCTAATGCCAGCATCACACATTTCAGATTCAGCTACTTGTGACTGCAGGAGGCTGTGGGTGGGGGGACATCCAGACCTGAACTATTGAAAAGTACAAAAAGAAAAGAAAAATGAAACCTAAAAGAGAAAACAGACATGATGGGGAACAGTAGCTGTTAAAAAGAATATAATATTAGCTGTTGGGGTGAAAAAAAAATTAATGGTGGTTAAAACAGAAAATTGGGCAGTGCTAAAGAGAAAATTAAATTGAAGATGGACCTGAAGGAACATGGCATGGGTTGTGACATGGGCTGAAATGTAAATTTAGCAGACCAGGAGTTTTAAATGAGAGAGCACAATGTATATTCCTGTTCTGATAGAAATTCTATGATAGGAGAACAAAGGCTGAGAGAAAGGGGAATTTTCTAGAAGAATAATTAAGCATTTCTAGTATGGATAAATTCTGTTTCAAGAGTCTCAAGCAAAAGACATGCCTTGATCTTGATCAAGATAAAAATAAAATCACTTCATAAAGAAAACAAAACACTAAGGACCAAGTGATCTTAAAAGCAAATGAAGAAGAAATTACCTACATTGGGACAATAATTTGGATAGCTCCCAACAGAAATAAAGAAGAAAATGGTAGTGAAGTAATATTAACTAGTAAGAAGAAGCATCTTTTAATTTACAATCTGTATTCAG